CCCCAAAACCCCAAAACCCCTTAGTCTGGATTCAATCTGAAATTGATTTTAAAGGTAATAGAGGAAAATTAAAACTTTATAAATATGTTAAATATTAATATTCACAGTCTATATCCCTTTGAAACTTTACTTAATAACATACAGTTCATTTAGATTAGCTACCTTGGGCTATAGCTTGTAGGTGGGAGAATTAAGCGGTGCTACTCTTATTTGATAACGTCGAATTAGTAGACGAGTGGCAGTTACCAAAGAGAGAGGCAGCCTTTAACTGGCTCTCAACCAAACTTTATCCAGTTACAGAGGAGCCTCCTGAGAATCCTGCCTGCTAGGATTATGCCAGGAGATGTTGGAGCTGACTCTGTTAAGATTATTGTCCTAATAAACTGCTCTGAAGTTCACTTAAGATGGCTTAGAGGTTGTTGTTTTAATTATTCTAGGTGGATTGAGTCATTCCCAGTTGTTGGTGCATTTGCTATTATTATATGACTGAGTTACTAAGTAGGGTCTGAGCCATAAGGCTGCTTAGGAAGTTATTAGCCTGAGCGTTCTAATTAGTCTGATTTTGTTATTGAGGTTAGTTTGCGGAGGAATTCAAGGAAGCATGCTGCTGGTTTGGGTTCAAGCGGCCTCCAAGTTGAAATCCATTAATGCCACTAGTTTGAGTCAAGTGTGACGCAATGATTAGCGTTTGCTGAAGCTAGAGGTCGGCATATTTCTTATTTAAGCTTGCGTTTTCCTCAGATTTGCACTGCAGCAAGGCGTTCATTCCGCTTATCTATATTATAAATTAACCACCAAACATTAAAATAGAAAAACTAGTGGTCGCAATCACTAGAAATGTGACATACCTTTTCTTTAAGCTCTCTATTTTCCTGAGCGAGCTTGTCAACTTGCTTTTTCATCTTGTCTAGCTCTTGCTATTTCTTAAGTCGGCACTTAAGCGCACTTTTCCTGTTTTGGAGGAGTCTTCTTTCCCTCTTGGAGAGGTCTGGCTACTGAATTTTCTTTTCTATCTTGAAGAGTTAGTTATTGGTAGAGGAATCGTCATCAGACAAGTCGTCGAATTCAGAGTCAAATTCATTATCTTTCGAGAATAATTTTTAATTTTGAGATTCGTTGTCGAAGTCGTCACCATTACTAGCGAGCTCGTTCAAAGATAAACTGGACTCTTGTTTCGAGGCCTTTCTCTTTTTGCCAACGAGTTTATCTGATTTAGATGTTTTTCTAAGAGTTTGGTTAAGAAATAAGAGTGATGGTTACTTAGGTTGCTTTTTAATTGGTTTCTGGGTGGGTTGGGACTCTTGCATGTTTCTTCACAAATATGAACTAATAATTAGGAGATGATAAGGAATTAATAATTGATTAAATCGATTACGTCACTACTTAAAATATAGTAAGAGGATAATATCAACGTATAATCTTGATTTAAAATTTAGAATTAAAGACTCCTACGTAGGCTTGAATGAAATGATAAAATAATCAAACTTTAGATTTATATTTAATAAAATATTTTAATAAGTTAAGTTGATATGAATAGTAAGTTCAAACAAACATTAAATAAAGTATAGTCTGAGCCCACTAATTTAAAGTAATTCCTTGGCCAAGATATTTTATTTTGATAGTCATGGCTAAGGCATAGTGAGCTCAGGAATTTCCTTTCTATTTATTCTGTCTTAATCAATAGACTCCTGCCTATGCTGGCTTTCCCTCTGTATTCGTTTCTTTTTGAACGAGTTTTATTCCTGATGATGTGCCTATTCTAGAAGCTCCCAACTATATGTACTTTATTGCTGCTTCTCTATCTCTGACGCCACCAGCAGCCTTGATTTTCAGCTTGCTTGAGGCTTATCTGAATAGCTCCACGTCTCTCATTGAAGCACCTCTTGGCCCGAAACCTGTAGATGTCTTTATATAGTCTGCTCCTGAGCGTTCAACCACCTGGGTCACTTTACTGATCTCTGCTTCTGTTAAATATCCGGTTTCCACGATAACCTTTAATAGTTTACTGCCGCATGCTTCCTTGATAAGCTTGATTTCGTGGCCAACGTTATCAAGCTCTCCAGACTTAAGCCAGCCGATATTGATTACCATATCAATTTCGTCTGCCCCATTTTCAATAGCCTGTCTGGTTTCGAATACTTTAACTTCAGTCGTTGTATTTCCGAAGGGGAATCCGATTACTGTTGCAATTTAGACATCTGTTTCGGCGAGATACTTTTTAGCTTCCTTCACAAAGCAAGGTGGGATGCACACTGCGACAAATTTGTATTCTTTTGCTTCATCGCAAACCTTCTTAACTTCATCCCAGGTAGTGCCTCCTTTCAGGACAGTCTGATCAATGTATTTGTTAACTTCAACATCTTGATCTTTCTTTTCCTGAGCATGAGTTGCGGAATTGTGATCTGAGCCTGGCTATTAGTTACCTCCGTTTCCGTGATTGTTGCCACCTTGATTGCTGCCATTATTGTGACCAGACCCACCTTATGAGAAAAGAATGTGATAATCTCTAGAGTTAGCGTAAGTTTGATACAAAGTCTTGAACACCATAGCTCCTGCGCCTAAGGTGAATGCTCTCTTGTGCATATTTTTGCTTGATCTCTGACTTTGGATTATTACAGAATTACTCATCTTCTTTGCTGTGAATGATGTTTCATTAATGAATAGTTATTTGAGTAGTGGTATTTTATTTTGTACTGATTTCATTTGTATTTTGATTTTCTAGTAAAGATATGTGCGAGAAAAGATTCGCTTAATTTAAAGTAATTAATTATAAGCATATGCCTATTCACAAATCTTAATAGATATACCAATGATTCTCATTATTCCCTATTATGTTCAAGATTAATAATTTTCAAACAAATATTCCTTCAGGGGTTTTGGG